ATTGTTCTTTGTGTAGTATTTTCATAAATTCAAATTCATTAGTGAGTGAATATAACTTACGAAAACTTCACTCTTATCCTTTTTCAACAGGTTCTTATACGATTTTTTAAGATTTCGAATCTACGATCAAATTATTGATAACTATTGATGTACTAGGTCATAGCTAACATAAACAAACAAAAAACTCATTCTAGTCCTGATACGAATTTATTCTTCAGTTTTTTCGGGTTATGAAAATATTTCATTTCACTTCGATTTATGAACTGATTGAAGAAAATAACGACATTCATGTTATGGTTTCGTGAATATTTATTATATTACCAATTTTGGTGGTATTTCATCCAAAAATGATTGATTTTTTAATAAAAAAAAATTGAAATAATAATTAATTACGGAATAACTAAGATAGTGCCAGGAGATTTTTCAACAAATTCCTATACAATTTTCACCGTAGATTGCGAATCTGAGGTGAAATTTTTGGTTACTATTATACAGGGTGAGTTATTCTAACAATAACTCAACATAGGGGAGAATTATTATTACGGTCCTGATATTGGTTTCGATCAAAGGGCTACTTGTTGATGCTTTTCAGTGTAATTCGTGTACCAAATTTGAATCTAATCGGTTAATCCCTGTATTTGATATGGCGGATTGAATTTTTTGTCAAAATTCACAAATCACTCTGTCTCTCAGTAACGAAGCGGTTTTGGACATTCGTTTATGGCATTCTGCAATCATATCGACAGTCCCTATAACCCCATGAGTTTTGTCGGTTTTATCTCCGGACACCCTGTATGTCTCCATAGATAATGGTCTTATACTGTTAGAAGACCTAGAAGGCCAAGAATGAGGGCCGCCACGACCTATTCAGCGATTAGAGAATTGAATGTCTAGGTATTCTTTAACTTGTATTGAGTGATGTGGAGGTGCCCCATTCTGTTGAAATGAAATACCTCTCTCCATTTGCTTACATCCATCAAAGCCTTTTTTTAGTGCTTTCTAAATCGTAAAAACACCAAATTCACAATTCGATTCGCTGATTGAGAGAGTTCACATGCAATGAGATCATGTTCAATAGTTCTTCAAAAGTTCGTCTATGTGTAGTATGAGTAGGCACGTATATCCGATTCAGATAGAAATCTTTCACCTAAGCGATAATTCCTCATATCGAGTACAATGTTTCCACATTTCCACATGTATGAGCCTAATATTTTAATTGGAAATTATTATTGTTTACATTTTAAAGGTCTCTTCCAGAAAATCAAGTCCGGTCCTGAATTTTTTATCGAATAGAGTCTCTTCCCAACTCTTATTATACACCGATATGCAAGAAATGGATTATGTAGTCATAGATTCACGACAACATATTTTGTCACCGCAACAAATGTTTTTTGTCAGATTTCAATTCAAGATTAATTTGATGTAACTCACTAATGATTCAAATTAACAGCAAGAATTGGTTGAATGAACAAAGACTATTTTGTTCCTATAATACAATATCTGCTCTTATGAACGATTCAGTTGATTGAAATGATTATGTCATTTCATTCAACTGACAATATTTCCAGTTTTTCAGATAGTGAGTATGTTAAAATAACAATATTCTTCGATCAACCAAATTGTATTTAGAATTGACAACATATTTTGCTGAATATTATTTAAAAATAATCCAATAACCTAATTTCACAACTAAGAGAAATTAGAGATCAATTTCCTCAGTTGATTCAAGACTATTAGCTTGTTGTTTTTTTAATCTATGGCTTGTATAAGCGACATAAGACAGCCCAATGTAATTATATAAATGGATGTTTTAGGTAGGTATATGTACACCCTAATCAAGGCAAGCGTAGAAAGGTTGTGAAAGAAATGCCACCTGGTGGCAAAAATGCAACTAGATAATCATTCAAAAAAATATATGATTGATACAATGTATTTAAGGGTTCTGTTCAACAAAGTAATTTGTTTGAAATAACAACATATTTCTTGATAGTGATGTGTTGAATCAACAAAATATCATGTTGTCATAATCAATTCAATTTTGTCGAATAGAAAAAACCTTTCATTGGTCGCACAATGAAATGATTGTTGACTCAACAAAATATGATTTTGTATTTAGTTAAATCTTTGTCAGAATTAATTTAATTTTGTCGAATAGACAAAATGCATATGATTGATTGAACAATGAGATAATAGTTGGATCAACAACACTCGTTTTATGTCAACTATAAATGTTGTTGAATGAAATGAAACTTTTGTTCAAGTAAGCAAATATTTCAATCAAAGTATTTTGCATCTTTGACTAGGTTCCTTATTTGGAATGAACATATATTTTGTTGATTCTGCAAAATTGTGTTCAATTTAACAAAAAAAATGACCAACATTATTTTGTTGGTGCAACAACACTTTTTTTTCCGCGGTTGATGGAAATATCAGCTGCCCTAACCTAGCCTAACCCTGTTCCCAAACGATGAGGAGAAAGTAAATATATTTATCTGGCCAAAACTTTATATATCTCCTCGAAAAATGTCTTCGGAGATTAGGCAGAGAGTGACCGCAGGTCGAAGTTGGAAACTTCCGAAGTGAATTTGGTGAGAAACGAGATAACTCCATGTAACACAAATCCTGTTAGAATTATTGAGTTCGCTAGAAGCTTACAACATGCCAGATATTAAGTAAATATCATACCTGTTTCCAAACTTTCTTGATTCATGTTGAGGAAAAAAGTGTTTCCGAAGAAAAAAAAACGGGGAGCACAAGGAAATACTATTATCAGATCGTGCGAGACAAATTGAAGCCTTATTAGTTTTAATCTTCTCCTGAAGATGCTAACATAGTTAGCGAAACACGTGTGGGGGCGTTTAAAAAATCGGTTTGGTCAGTGAAACAACAGCCAGTGTAGTGCGCCTATTAGTTTCTTCAATCGCTATACCTTAAACGGAATTAACATGTTTCATGAAATTGAAACGGCTGAATGAAATAGTAAATTTTTTTATTAGGATCGAAAGTGATACTTTGTTTGACACGCGATTTTGCATTTGCGAAGCGGAGCGTTTAGCGAAGTCGAGCGAAATTAGCTCTTAAATTGACGTTTCTATTACTGACACAAAAATAGGTATGTTGCTATAGGCAACATATTTAGTTCCTAGAAGCTAAAGTTAAATTTTAGTTGAACTTTAGCTCCTAGGAACTAAAAAGGATCTACCTCGGGATCTACTGAACGTCATCAAGAATAAACAACATTGTGACGGTTGGTTATTTGGGTTGAGACGCATACCTGATTTGTTTCCGATTTCAGCAGATTTGGCAATTCATACCCATGCTGCAGATATGAATACACCTTATTATAGTTCAGTATTGGAATTATAAACATCTCAGTTAAGTATTTTTGTTTTGATCAGGGAAGCCTTCAAGATTCAAATACTTGCTTGATCTGTATTTCATTCGTTATTCTCGGGATGGATAACTTGCTTTTGAATAATCACGGCAAGCAATAGTTTTTTTGTCTCAAACAACGATATTGTTTAGCTTCATTTGATTATCAAGTCAAACACAGTGTAGTATGTAGAGGAATAAATAATCACTATTATCATTGTTGATATGCTCACTAACCTAACATTTTCAACGTCTTGTTCCTATAGCTGGCACTGGCGCGGTATTTGCCATTAGAGCACCTGGTCCATACACAAATATGTCACTCTGTGGTTGTATTTATATTGAATCTACAATTCGAACATCCTAGAAAACCTAACCTGCTGTTAATGCAGGTAGAATATTCTCACCACATGGATTATTTGTCAATATTTGTTGCAATGCATACATATGGCAAGGTATTGGTGGTTACTTCACATGTTTATTTGAGTTAGGTAATTGTTTCGGTTGCAGAAAAAATAGCATGTTTCATTCGGATCAAAAGTGACTCCCAGACAATATCAGTCAATTTGTACATTTGTAAGTTAAGGTTTCATTCAATTGTTATTCATTTCCAAGAATAAATGTGTGTATATGTGTTGTTTGAAAACCCTTTTGAGTATTCTTTATTATGATCACTTTTAAAGTTCATTCTCTAATGGATCTAGAACACAACTTAGGCAACCCCCGCCTACAGTTTGTTTGCCCGGCGCCTCCACCATGTCACAAACTGTAGGCGGGGGTTGCCTAAGTTGTGTTCTAGATCCATTAGAGAATGAACTTTAAAAGTGATCATAATAAATAATACTCAAAAGGGTTTTCAAACAACACATATACACACATTTATTCTTGGAAATGAATAACAATTGAATGAAACCTTAACTTACCCTATATGTACAAATTGACTGATATTGTCTGGGAGCCTGAGGAAGGGCATCTTCTGTTCTGCCCGAACTCCGAAGGTTCGGGCACAGTGGCAACTTTTCAAACTTACACTCGATAGAACTTGAACTTCCCTGATTCGCACTCAAAAAAACAAGACTAGAACCGTCGCAGTCGAACCGGTAGTCGAACTGTCGAACCCGCTTCCTTACGTCTTTTAAATAGTTGTCTATATGTTTGGAAACGTGACAGTAAGGAAATCAGGTCGATAGTCCAGGTTCTTCGAAGTCAATGTCACGCCTGTGTTTATGTTCAACTATGGAAAAAAGTTCGTTCACGATTCGAAAATTTTGGAATTAATAAACAAAGACGCGACCGTTCAATGACTTCGAACCTTATATGAATTAAGAAAAATAACCCTATTTGTGACAATATCTTGCGAAACAAATTATGCGTTTATGTTATATTGCTGAGAAGTGCAATGAGCTTGTTTTTCAGTTTTGCGATCTAGAAGCCGTGAAACCATTAGGTCAAAGTGTGGTCTTCTTTCGAGAGCTTCGCAATAAACGTAAAGGTTCATCAAAAAATAATTGCAGCGTCTCTTGCCGCACCTGCAGTCACTTCAAAAGAAACTTGATTGATTGATTGATTGATTGATTTTGGATATACTTCACCTGCTTCGCCCGTATCTAGTGATAGTGGTTCGTTTAATGTCTTCCTACTTTTTTGCAGATACAAGCTATTCGTATCACCCTGCAATTCATGATGACACGTTCGTTAGAAGAAAACAACGAAGAAACAGAACAACTTTCACGTTACAGCAGCTGGAAGAGCTAGAGACGGCTTTCGCCCAAACTCACTACCCCGACGTGTTCACCAGGGAAGATTTAGCCATGAAAATCAATTTAACCGAAGCTAGAGTACAAGTGAGTACCTACAATTACTCGAATCACACAGGGTGTCTCCCAAAATAGTGATAGTGCATTTATTTTGCCTGCGTAGGATATAGCACGCTGGTGCAATATTTCTGGGGCGGTTCGCCCCAAGCTTCATGAAAAAATCCATATTTTTATATAAATTATCCCCTACCCCCCAAACGCACATCAGGACGATTTCTTGACGACAAGTGGAACCATGATCTGGAGATGATAGGTAACAATTCTACAAGAGTCTCGAGATCATACCCGTGTGTTCACCGAACACGCTCGATCGTTACCTAAGCGGTAGGGAGACCGAGACGTAAGCAGGCAGTCATGATACACTGAGTGGGCAGGCAGCTTCTCTCATGCTGTCTTTGTTTTTGTAGTACGGGGTGGGCCACCAACAGTTTTCTTGATCACATTTCAACATTTTTTTTTTTCGAATAAATGAGAAACATTTGATAGGCATCAAGTGATCTACTGCGACCTATCAGATAATGAAAGCGATGATTTGATTTACAATAATTCGCTATGTCCGAGGCTATGTCGGGCTATGTCACGACGAGTCCTACATGTAAATATCGAACCACTCATCGAAAATCATGAAACTTGAGATAATAGGTCTATGATACGTACATATTATATGCTTATGTTTTGTTGACGAGGACGCTCGTTTTTATTCAAATTATTTTCGATAATGTTCATCTGCTTCACTAGAAATTATTATTAGTAGTTATGTATAGTACTTAGTAGTATAGTTATAGCAGCTTTGTTATTCAAAATGGAACACCTTATATTTTATTACATTTTTCGATTTTTCTAATTGAGCTATGATTTCGTTATCAAGCTCAAGGTATACCTATACGTAGAATGTGAAAAATCGAGATTTTTTTTTGTATCGAAACTATACAATACCTATATTGATTTGAAAAAATGGCTTACATGTGTCCCTATCCTAACATTCTATTTACTATCTACTGATGACATTTAATTGAAACAAATACCGGGTGGATCAGATTTCAGAATTATATAAAAGAAGTATACTCTAGTATGCCTACTAAAAAAATATATATATTTGAAATAAACAAAACAAATATATCACATAAAAAAACACACTCTAATATTCAACATAAAATAAAATTCAATCCCACTGGATGTATTTGAAAATATAAACAGTGTGCATGTCACTTCTATAATGGAATATCAACCCGTATATATCTAACGTAACTGTTCAATTTTAAGGAGCAACAGATATATGTACCAACTATGACCAAAGTGAGGTAATCTTCAGTGAAAAACACTGCTCTGGTCATGGACCCACCAACATTTCCGGAAAATGATATTAGGAGGCAAGATAGGTTAAAAATCACTTCGGATTCGAAATCAGGACGTAATCCTGCTGTACCTCGAAAACGAAGCAAGTTTAGGACACATGTTTATATGACCTTTATTCATCATATTATATCACAAGGAATCATCCCTTGAATTATTTCGGTGTTATTTAGATACACCCTGTATAGATCATTCTTCATCACAACATTTTTCCCATAGCGAAGTTCAGCAAATACCGATGGCGAGAGCACTATGTTTATTGATTTGATGTCTACCTATAATATATGTAAAACAAGAAGGCACTCCAAAATAATTCAGGCACGCGCCAATATTCATAACGTAGTTACTGCTGCCCGTTTACGTTTCCCCACCGCTTAGGGAACGATCGGGCGTGTTCGGTGAACACACGGGTATGATCTCGAGACTCTTGTAACAATTCTAGCCATGTCACAGCTTTTTACCTCCGATTTCCTACGGGGTGAACGATAGAATTCGATTGGCACTCTACTATCAAGTGAAGGAGGAAAAATGCGACAGTTGTGGACTAAAATTCATTGTTCATCTTCTATACAGGGTGGACGTATTTATCCGATATACTTACAGGTTACAAAATGTCAATTTTTTAAAATTACTTTTTTCCCACGGGAATAAAGTGAGTATACTTTATTCCCGGATATATACGTGCACTGTTGTTGGCTTTTGTTGTGCCAGTTCCGAAAAATAAAAGCCAATAACACCGTCTCCGAGAAACAACCGAAAGTCTATTTTATCTTCCATTTCACTTCGCGGTTACGTATACAGTGTGTCCCACTTACCATGCTCACCATGGGTATCTTTTTAACGGTGAGAGATACGAAGTCGGTTAAATGATGCCAAATGTGGAGTTTGTCAAGGCCAACTATAATGTGAAAAAATATTTTGATAAAATCTATTCGTTTGTGTTTTATACGCAAAAAACAAGATTTTGATCATTTTCATGTCTCCTCCGTAACTTCTTTATTCATGAAAATATTCAAATAGGAATTTCCCATCCTCATGGCAGTTTTTTAAAGTGATTTCGAAAAAAATATGAAATTTATGCCAACTCTTCTAGAATTCGGGATATCAGCACCAACTTCAGTTTTTCAAATGTAGGTCATAGCTCACTATTACTTAAGTAGTTACAAATATTTTTTTTTCTCTTACAGATGATATGTCGCAGTAATAGTTTTGTGTTGATAACAACGGAGTTATCATACAAAAACAAAAAATTATTTTGAAGCCGCCATCTTGAATTTATAAATTTTAACAAGAGAATCATGATCTCCGACCTCAAACACCCCCACTTACCAATTTTGAATGGAATAGGACCAAATCTTGTCCGCCATCTTGGAGTTGGCCTTGACAAACTCCACATTTGGTGTCATTTAACCGACTTCGTATCTCTCACCGTTAAAAAGATACCCAAGGTGAGCATGGTAAGTGGGACACACTGTATAACTCAACAACCACTAAATTCGCAATATTTCAAAATCAAAACACAGAATTAAATTGACACACATTCGATTACTCCAAAGGGTTTCCATAGCTACAATTAAGATGCCTACAAAAAGATGACTGCAAACACAGATGTACTATACCAGTTAAAAACTCCAAATCTCACATCGATAATCTTATGATTTCATTATAATGTAATATCTTCCCAATATTAAATCCTCGTTTTTCCTGTCACAGAAAAAAATAGTGGATTATACAAGGAAAAATATTAGATTTTAGCCTTGTTTCTTGTATCGCTCCGCTACGCATCGGGAGACAACACCAAAGATTACTGAATATCTTCTGTAGTCTATGACAACACAACCTCGAGCTAAAATCTAATACTTTTTTTCCTCGTATAATGAATAACTATCTTGATACGTGTCATTCAAGGGCCAGGTCAGGTCCATATTTTGAATTGTCAGAATGGGATTTGAGATATCTACACGGAAAAAAATGGTCCAAGTAAAACGTTTTCTTGACTCGTTTCGTATTGTGATAGGAAAAATAATACCTATTACAGAAACAATTACCTTTCGCCTCTAGAAAAATTATAATTCTGAATGCATGAACTTGTAGCTATTCATCATCCACCTACATCTAATAGTTTTCATCCTAGATAATTCACTTTGTATAGTCCTAGGTCGACATTTTATAAGCGCTGGTGAAGTGTATTTTAATATTCATTAACTTCGAGTTTCTGGAAAGGAAATAATTACAACAGAAACTCGAGTTACAAGCACAATGCAATTGTTAATCTGCGGTTGAACCTAATATACCTACGGTAATTAACATGTTGACCTAATATATCAATCGGAAGTAATCGGGAACAATCGCCGGGATGTATTTCATATATCCGAATCCAACCAGCGTCAGTTCGTTATGACTTCTCGAGAGTGCTGAGTGTAAGGATGCATTAGTGGCCGTGGTAAATCGGAAAATATTTTTTTCTACAAACGCTTAACAAAGTAGTCTTTGACGCTTTCAAATTCCAGCACAAAGTTGACGTTTTCCCAGAAATGTCATTCTTTGACAGCATTTGCGCTCGTGAGCGGAAATATTGAAAAAACGCTCGCACATCTCTGTAACCTATACTTATCTATTCTTGAAAACCCCCAATTCTTTCATGATGGAAAATAGTGAATCATCAAACACACCTCCTTCCTGATGATATAGCAGAAAGCGCAAGAGTTTGAATCTCTTATACCGGAGAAATCAAGGAAGAAATATGAATCACAATATGATACATTCATAAATTGGTGCCACTCCGAGATGGTGAATATGTATTCAGGAAACGTTTTACTGGCTCATTTTGGTAAAAAATCAAAGACTTTGAAGTCATCAACTCATTGGTCTATATATTCGATGGTACGTATATTCATGCTCGAATGTTATAATATATAGGAATATAGGAATCAATAAGTATCTGAAACTTATCGCATTTCTCAAGGAACAATCTATTGGATATAAAGAGAGAAAAATCCAAAACATCCCAAAGCTCCCGATAAAGCATATCTGTTGAAAACGATGAATTATACTTTATATTGAAACTCTTTGTTATCATCAGAAAGACAGTGTATTTTTATTTTATTGCATCAATGAGTAATGTTCAATTTGATTGCAGAGTTTATCGTACTATGGCATAGAGGTCTGAAGCTCAGGTTGCCACGCTGGTGGTCCAGTTTCAATTTTCGGTAGGCCCGACATTTTTTTTTTCTGGCTTGTCAGTTATTTCAAGTTTTCTTTTTTTGTTTCCTTTTGACATATGGGATAATATGGATAAGAACTTTTTCAACTATTTCAATCGCTCATACTTTCAGGGCAGTTATTTCCAAAAGCTGCGCTAGTAGAAAAAATCTGGTGTGTATTTCGAGCACAAAGTGTTATTGCCGCTCTCCAAAGATTACCGCGCTCCGCTCCGCATCGCGCGGTAACTTTCTTTGTCGAGCGGCAATCTATCACTTTGCGCTCTAAATACAAATAGCTATTTGGTGTTGTATTTATTATATACGCTGAGGAAGTATGGCTAATTACCATCACGAGAGGTATATAAAAAATGACAATTATTCAATTCCTATCAGCTAATCAGTCACAGAGCGATAGCAGAACAGTATTCTCCTCGAAGTAATGAATGATTTTTCGTGATTTAACATCTAAGT